ATCTCATTTCATAGTACAGCAAGAAGCAAAATTGCATATCTTTATCATCTTATGAGGTTGAATACATTGCTGCTAGAAATTGTTGCACACAATTGCTTTGGATGAAATAGATAATTCTGAATTATAGAGTTGATCAAGGTACTATTGTTATCTTTTGTGATAATACTAGAAGAAATTAATATTTCAAATAATCTAGTTTTGCATTCTAGGACTAAGCACATTGACATTTGACATCATTTTCTTATGGAACTTGTTGAATAAAATGTCGTGTCTTTGAAAAAAGTGCATACTGGTCAAAATTTGGCTTACATTCTCACTAAGCCATTAGATGCTCCTAAGTTTTCTCATCGTAAGAAATCTATAGGCGTCTATTGTCTTGATTAGATGCATTGCAAGGATATAATCTAGAAAGGATTTTCATACATATCTTGAGTGTCTAGATTATGTTTTTGAGAAGTTAAGCAAACCATATTGATTGAGTATGTTGAACACAAGGAGTTTTATGACACATGGATTATCTGTGTAAAACATACTATGGCTATGAATTGATGAAATTGATTTTGCTTACTTGGTTCGTATAATGAATAGATTATTGATATTACATTTACTTATTTTTTATGTCATTGTGTTGGTCAAAGATGATGTTGATATGCTTAATCATTGTCTACAATTTTAAACTTGATTTAAGTGTTTTAGACCAAAAGAGTGAAATAAGAAAAAATTTGAAAAAACAGCTTGGAATGAAAAGTGTTGAAAAAAAAAATGATGAAAATATTTGATGTTTTGAAAAAAAATTGAGAGATGAAAAAGGCAACCTTTGGGAATTATCCGAAGCTACCTTGACTTAAAACAAATGGGAATAAAGGAAAAAGCTGGCTTCCTATAAGCGTGAAAGCCGCCAATGTGCAAAAAGAAAAATAGAGCACAAAAAGAGGGGGGGGAAAAAAAAAAAAAAAAAAAAAAAAAAAAAAGGTCTTTTGCACATGTCGATTGTTTGATTTCTAAGGATATGTGATATCATTGATTTATTATCTGAAGTCTAAATAGTTGACAAATCATATATTTTGAAACTTTGTGGTGATTTTACTGCACTTACTAAGTTTGTGAAATTTCATTAAATTGATCTTGGTAATTTGTGTTGATTCATATAGTCTTGTGTAGTCTATTTTCTCGTTGGATTCAATTTACAAGATCTATATGGTTGGTTACTTCTTACTTCTAGGATATTTCTTCCTTTAGACCCTTGTTAATTTGTGACAAAAAGGGGGAGAGAGTTGAGATTAATACAATTCAGGGGGAAAGATATTTTTGCATTAAGGGGGAGAAAATTTAATCATTTCATTTTCATAGCATTACTTTTTCAGGCATAATTAGCAATGGGAGCTAACATTTTTTTATGCTTATATTTATTTTCTTGATTAAGCTTCACGAGTAGTTGTTTTCTTTATTGAGGTAATGTGCAGATTATAGGTTGCTACAAGTGTTGAAGCTTCATGAGGTTCAGGAAAAACATTTTGCGGTTTATTCCTTTGACATTCCTTGTAATTTGATTTTTCTGCTTCAGTAGATTACATAGGGTTTTGTCAAGAAATTGCCATAGGGGGAGATTGTGAGATATATATTTTATAATTGGCTAATTTTGTTGTCAAAACAAGTCCAGTCGAGTTGTAATTTTTTGGCTAAAAAATTCAATACTGAAGATCGAATGCGGATTTGAAGAAATTCAAGTGTTCATGGTTTAATACACTCTGGGATGATGACAACAATGCTTTAAAAGGTTGAAGGAAACAAGAAGTTCACTTCTGTCCATTAGTAACCGGTAGCTTTATACTTGAACCAGTAGCCAACTATGGTTCAAAAGGGATTCGTCACTGTCCTTCCTGAACCGTTAGCCTCTAGCTCTACCAGTAGCCAAATCACGTTGGATTTGACACTGCCAATCTTGAACTGGTAGCCAAACTTAGTACAGGTTCAAGGCTCCAGAACAATTTAAGGTCATTTTGGTTTCCTGTTCTGTTTTGATTCCTTTTTTGTCCAGACTTCCTTTTAAAAGCCTATGCACGAAATTCACTTGTTTTACAAGTATTCTTAAGTCTTCTAAACGTCAATATAATGTTTCTTTCAATCATTATTGAGGTATGGCTTTGAAGAACATCAATTCATTATTTTGAGAAAGCCTTTAGAGAAATATTTTTTTTACAATCAAATCTGATTTTTCTGAATTTATTTTTGAGAGCACACACATATATTCATGAGTGATTTAGTAGTATTGTTCTCTATCTCATCGGAATTGGAGCTATATTGAAGATTCAGAGATTTCGAAAAGAGTGATTTATTTCTTCTACATCAAAGTTCAGATCTTAAAGAAAATAGGTAAAAACAATCACACTTTGAACTGGTTAAAGCATTCGAGAAGTGTTGTTTAATCTACCAATAATCATTCTATAGAGATCAAAAGTAAGCCTAAAGTTAAGAGATGTTGGACGGGACGTTGTAAAGCCAGAAGATTGTCAGCAATTTGTGTTTAGTAGAACAATAGGGTATGAGCCTGAGTCAAAGTCCATTGTACTTTGTTTCAAACATAGTGGATCAGTTTACTTTGGACTACACAACCCATGGGATTTTTCCCACAACAATTGGTCTATTATACCAATTAGGGTTTCCTCGCTAAAAATCCTAGTGCAATCTCTCTAACTCTTCTTTCTTTACTTTTAAGTATTTATCTTTATGATTGTAGATGTTTAATTGATCATATTGCTTAGATAATTTAATCAATCACATAAATTGGCAAGTTGACCGATTAATCTCATATAGGTCATTAAAAGAGTTATTCACAATTAAATCAACTAACCCGCATAACCCGCGTAAACCTCACAATCTTTAGAGCATTATGCAATATCTATTAAATTGAGAGGAAAAGTTAATTAGATGACCATCAGGTAGCATGCTTCATGCTGTGAGCAAAATGCTCGGCAGTAAATTCGGACATTTCTGGGGCTTGCATATATCAATTGCAAATTCATTAGTGTAAGATGTGACAAAATGATTTCGCCCTTAAAAAGATTGTTTTTTTCGTTGGTTAGTCTCTGTCTCCTTTTTTTTTCCAACGAGGAAATCCAAATCCACAGACCCGTATCGATGAACTATAAGGGACTCGACAATGGAAAGGGCTTTACTCGGACAACAGAGATGATGCCCACATCAGAAATTGGACGGCAGTGGCGACAACTTTCAGATGAGCACGCTCCAGCAAGACCGAGGATGTGGCTATGGCAGAGAGCTCTTCTTCGGCTCTTCTTCGGTGCGCATCTCTGAGTCGCATTCTCTTGTTCGTACTCTTTTGGTAGTTTTAGATGGGTGGGTGGTAGAGGAGAAGATAGGGCAGTGGCGGTGGCACTGTGGCAGAGCTGTTGTGTGCCTGTGTGTATATATATGTAGGAAGATAAAAAGGGTAATTTAGTCATTTTATTATTTTGATATTTTATGATTAAAATTCTTTTTTCGTAAATGATGGAGTATATATAAATACAACGAAAGTCCTAAACGGGACACACAATATCCCTGAGCAAGGTTATTCAAAAAGACAATAAAAGGAAAATAACAAAATATCTTGAAGAGAAATCCCCAACACATGAAGCACTTCCCAAAAAATAGATTTAGCTAATTCCTTAGCCTCTCTAACACATTTATCATGCCATCTATTGTTTCTCTCCCAACATAAGAAATAAAGAGTAGCAGTAAAAATCATTCTAGCCATCTTCCCCTCATTATAAAAATCATATTTTATAATTAAAATTAATAAAATTGTGAAAGGTAAAATTGACTTTTCACATGTTCTAAGGCTCTGTTTGACTTGCAAATTTCATAAGGGGTATCATTGTCTCAAAATAAGGTAATTTGTATCTAAATGTTTTTTTTGACAAACCTCAAACAGTGTTACTGTACTTTACCCTTAAATTTAAATTTTTAAAATTTTTAATACTTAATTGTTCAATTTTATCAAGCAACACAAGTTTCTCGCCACACCCACCCCACACCCAACAAATAACAAAACAAAACTTGGATTTACATGGATCTGACCGGATCAACTCAATTTCAATTTCAATTTCAATTTCAATTTCAAATTGAATTGTTTTGGCTATCCATCAATACACTTTCACCTGAGTGGAGGGTTACAAAGACTTGAATGCAAAGAATTGAAGTCAATGACCCAACCATATGTGTACGTATAATTCGATCACGTCACGAGAGACTTACATCCCACCCATGCCCTTTATAATTCAGACGTGTGACAACAATATGCCAGCTGTAACAAAATAAAATGTATCATCTTCTTTAATTTCATTTACTTTTTGTTGTTGACTTAACTGCCAGTTGTAATTAACTGCCAGTGGTAATTAAAGTTAGTTGATTGGCTTTATTAATGAAGTACTATAGTACTTGTATTACTTGACTTCTTTTCTAGATAATTATGAATGGTTCTTGTAATTACTTCATTTCTTTTCTAGGTAATTATGAAGTATGTAGTATCTGCTCACAGCTCTTTCTCAGCCTTTTCCTTTTTATGTTCAAACAATAAATTTATTTCCATTTGATAATCAAATTAAAGTACAAACTAAACACACATAAATAACTCCATGTGATTAGCTACCAAGGAAAAACCTAGATTTAGTATCTCATGAAATATTAAGTCTCATATTCGAATCTATTTCAAGTATATCAATTTCTTATAGGTCACGATTACGAACATAATCCGATTCGTGTGAAGGGATCGCAAGTCCCATAAATTAGTCAAGTTAAAACCCCAAACACTTCAATTATAAAAAATAAAATAATAATAATAACAATAATAAACCTAATCACACTTAAATGATCCTTAAAGCCATGAGCTGGCTTATAGCTCTAAAAGTGTGAGAGCTTGTGAAGTCTCATCTCTCTTTTCATGTGAGTGTTATTAAAGCCATCTAATAAATTGTCTCACTACCGCTCCTATTGACTCCTTTCACGTTCCATAATTTCTTCAACACCTCTTTTTCTTGACTCATGTTCAATCTTCATCTTAAACCACTTCTCTTCTTCTTTTTCTTCTACATGCAATATCTACCCAATGAAGGACTTGTCCTTCTTTCTCCTCAAGAACTCTCTCGGAGCGAAAATGAGGAAAGGGTTCAAAAGCTTCTGCAACAATGATGGCTCCACCTCTACTCTCAACCAACGTCGAGAAATCCCCCTACCCATCGTCGACCCCTTGGACAATACAGGTTCGGAGCAAAGCCCTCCAACTTTGGAGGAGATGATAATTCAGTTAGAGTTAGAAGAGAAGATGGCGGTGAGGAAGGCTAAGCTTGATGAGTATGGTGAAGTGCGACGCAGAATGTCATGTGTTAACAACTCTGACATACTAAGATCTGCGAGGAACGCGTTGAATCAGTACCCTAGGTTTTCTCTTGATGGGAAGGATGCCATGTATCAGTCTTCGTTCCGAAACCTGCCACCTATCAACACTGCAGGTGGGAGGAAGTCAATTTGCTGCGAATACGGGTTAAGGAAGGGCATGTACAAGGATGGTTCCGATTCAAAAGGAGAGAAAGTGCCATGTTTGCCACAAAAATTAGCAGGAGAGAGAGTGGTTTGGTGCAAACCTGGGGTGGTGGCTAAGTTGATGGGGCTTGAAGCCATGCCAGTTTCAATAGGTAGCAAGAGAAGTAAAGAAAGATTGAGCTCAGCTATTAGGATGCAAAATCTGAAGAGGAGAACTGAAAGGCATGATAAGGACAGAAGAGTTGTCATGGATCTGAATGGATGTGGTGAAAGAAAAAGAGGGATACGAGGTTCGTGTTCAACCACCGAATACTGTGTTATGAAGCCGATAGCTGTAGAGACAGCGAAGGATGAAGCAGGTTGGCCAATTCGTCGTTTCCTATAGAATATAGCTGAGTTGGGATTTGAATGTGCTTGATAAAAGATTACTTAACAATGTTACAATATATATATATATATATATATATATATATATAGATATGTTGCCTGGTTTGATTTGCAAGAAAGCAATAACTGTGTACAGTATGTATATGCATATCTATATCATTGTACTAGGAGATTGGGAGCTATGGTTCGCAAATGAGCTTGAAATATTGTACAGTTGGCTTTTCTTAGAGGACTTGCATGCGGAGCTGGCAATTTCGTAGGGTTTCTAATTCTACGGATCTTTGGAGCCCTTAGTCCAATCTTTGGTTTTGAATGTATTTTGACATCCTTGTTTCTCTTGTTATTGGGGAATTGAAATACATTCTTCTTGGAATTGATGAAGCAAAGCTCCACACACCCCAATTATCGAAAAAAAAATACATTCTTTTATAAAAGGAACAAGATGGGCTACGAATAGTTGAAGATTTTGTATTTGTACACTTCAACCCCTTCTTTTATAGGTAGAGCTACACAATATAATGAGGGTGAGACTATGATGTGGGATGTTGAGGGACATATATTTGATTCCTTAGAGTATAGTGAGATATTTAAGATTGCAAATTTTCCGAGACCCATTTTAAGGCCATACCATATATCAATGAGGGTATTGGAACGATGATGAGCTTTCGGAAGATCCGGCCAAATGAAGAGGATTGTGGAGTGTCTTTTTAATTCCTTTTTCTTTCTTTTTTTTCCGTCTGTGTGTGTTATGTTATTGAATTTATAATGTGTACCTGATGAATGATTAATGATAAAAATGTTGAAGCTGGTTCACCTTATCATATTTATCTAATTTTTTTATAAGTTGGTTTGGTGCTTCATTGCTTATTAAATGATGAATTGAATTGATTATATAATGTAGTCGTCATTTTTATTATATTAAAAAATTATTATTATAGTTACGTTGTGTCTGTATCTTATTTTTGTGAGAATTGTGTGTGACCGCATTCTTATCAGATTTGTATCATGTCTATAAGTTAGAACAAATTATTTTTTTTCATTTTTTCTTTTAATGTATATACGCGCAAACTCATTTTGTTCAACCTCCTACTTAGGAATCACCACTAAAGTAGAAACCCTTGGTACTTCTTTCTTGCGAAATTAGCTGACATTTGGACAAAAGTTGTGGATCTTCCCGGTGTCGGACAAAATCAACTACACCATCAATGATGTGGTTCCACCGTGATCCTTGGATACGTCCAATAAATTTTGAGTAGTGCTAAGAAATAAATAAATAAATAAATAATCACATCCTTGAGAGTTAAGTTCATAGAATAGCAGTGATATATTTAATGATAAAATTACAAATACATCCTTGAGAGTTACCTTAATTACACACGATGGTAAAAAGTAGACCTTATTACACCGCCCTCCCATTAAGTATGGAGTGTGTGCTCAACGAACTCTCTCCCATTAACTGGTCATTAAAATCGTCAAAAAACTTTACACTGATGACAAATCTACCCTTCCACTTAACTGAAAGTACATTTATAGTCTTTTAAATTTATAAAATTATACTAGTACTTTTTTACTTAACTTTCTCCCCTATCACGCCCCTTTCTCTTTCTTTCTCTCTCTGTGTGTGTAGCAAATTAATCATCAAAATCAATTCGAGCTCACAACCTTCCCATGCTCTCATTCGACTGCTCAAAAATTGGCCAAACCATTCTCAACCTCAAGTCCTTTTAATCAAACCCCATTATTATTTCTACATTTGTTTTTCCCTCCTCACCATTCTCTCTCCGGTTTCCTCCCCTTTGTCACTAACTTCACTTCCTTGAACGTTTTTTCTTGGTTAGCAACAATTTGACTTCGATTCCTTGTAATTTATTTTTATGACTCACCATATTTCAAACCCTTAGTCTCAATAACAATATGTGTGAGATATATATTTTGTAATTGGCTAATTTCGTTATCAAAAGAAGTCCGGTTGAGTTGTAAAATTTTGGTTCAGAATTTCAAAATTGAAGATCGGATACAGATTTGAAGAAATTCAAGTGTTTATGCTTTAATAACAATGTTTTAGAAAGGCATGTGAGTGTGTGAGAACACTAGGGAAGTTTTGAAAGTTTGAAACACAAGTTTTTAGGAAGTGTTGACATTCTGCCCAACTTGAACTAGTTCAAGAATTTTGGAACAAGTTCAGCTTTTGAGGCTTTTGGGTGTTTTTAAAGTCTGGTCAACTTGAACCGGTTCAAGTATCATAGAAAGTTTATATTGTTTTCCTCAAAAACTTACTGGCCAACTTGAACCAGTTCAACCACCCTTAATCGGTTCAAGGTCTTTTGACAGCTTTGGTAACTTTAGTTTCCTGATTTGTTTTGATTCCTATTTAGTAATGACTTCCTTCCAAAATCCTATGCACGAATGTGACTTGGTTTCCAAGAATTATTAGGTCTTCCAAACTTCTATATAATCTCTCTTTCATTTAACATTGAGGAATTGCTTTTAGGAATGAGAATCCATTATTTTAAGAAAGCCTTTTTGAGAGATATTGTTCAGAAAATCAAATCTAATTTTTCTATTTTTATTTTGAGAACACACACATATATAAACGAGCGGAATTGGAGTATAATTGAAGATTCAGAAATTCTGAAAAACAGATTTATTTCTTCTACATCAAATTCAGATCTTAAAGAAAAGAGGTGAAGTGATCACACTTTGAAGGGGTCAAAGCATTCATGGAGTGTTGTTTAATCTACCAGCAATCCTTCTACAGAGATCAAGAGTAAGCCTAGAGTCAAGAGCTATTGGACGAGACATCGCAAAGCTGGAGATTGTCATCAATTGGTTTTTGGTACAACGATAAGGTGTAAGCCTGAGTCAAAATTCATTGTACTTTGCTTCAAACATAGTGAATCATTTTGCTCTGGACTGCACAGTTCATGAGGTTTTTCCTACATGAATTGGTATATTCCTCCAATTAGGGTCTCCTCGCTAAAATCCTAGTGTCATCTATCAAACTTTACTTGTTTTACTTTTTAGTATTTTTTTTTTTTTGTGATTGTGGACATTTAATTGATCATATTGCTTATATAAATTAATCAATCAAAAAAATTGGGCAAGTTAACCTAATAATTCCATCTAGATCATTTGGGGAGTTAATCACAACTAAATCAACTAACAGCTTCCACACCGCGTAACTCACAACACCTATTTTGACACTAATGGAAATAAGGAAATCATTCAATTACCTTAAGTTGTCCGATTATCCAAAAGTGCAGAATCCAAAAGGTTGTGTTACTAGTTATCCCAAAAACCACAAAATGAATGTCTTAATCATCAATAGAGCGGTTACCAAAATCCTTTATACATATTCCAAGATCCAAACTTAGAGGTTGATGGCTACCAGATAGAAAAATATTGAAAAAGATAAAGCACGAAGGATAAAAAGTTCTACTTCTGATCCCCACACATAGGGACTTGTAATCATCAGAGATAAATTTCAAATTCAAGTTAAAATAGTTAATATAATAATATCTCATCTTATGTTCTCTCTCCATTTGAATTTGAATTACGTGGATGCTCCAATAGGTTGTGGTCCATGACATACTCGACCCATATTCTAACATCTCATACTAATCCACAGAGAGTGGGTTCTAAATTCTCAGCATCTACCATTTACAAATCCATATCTATATAAAGGAAGTGGATGATGTGACCAAAGGAGAAAGATTAGGGTAGCACTATTATATTAAGCTACAATTAAATTAACATAGTACCTTACTATTAACAAGTAATCTTGTTTATAGACCAAACTATTTCGGTACACCATATTCGACACCCCTTATCCCTTCTTGAGACTCATCTCAATGTAACGCCTAAATCCCATAATCTGTAATGTACTCACCCATATCGGTATTAAGCATTCTCTTGATAATGTAGTCCTAGGTCATAAGAGCATAAGTGTCCCAATTCTGGCTTCCAGCCATGCCAAAGCTCATAAGGGGGTCTGAGGATTGAGCTGATTTGGAAGGCACACGATTAAAAATATAGGCAGTAGTCATTAATGCATCCCTCTAAAATCTAATAGGGAGATTAAATAGCACAACTGTTGACCTAATCATATCTAACAATGTATGATTCTTTTGTTATGCAACACCATTTTGTTATGGTGTCCCTTGAACCGTTAAATACTTAGTCTTTCCTTTTCTTCATACAGTTCTTTAAACTGATCTGATAGATGCTCGCATCCATGGTCAGTGGTTGTGTCGTCAACCCAATCCAAAGTTTATGCACCAAAAGATAGTGGTGTAGGGCTATGATGAATATGGCCAAGTTTTACATTTAGAAATTGTCACTACTACCTTTCACTAAAAATATAGTTAGGGCAAGTAGGGATCGTCCCAAGGGATTGGTGGGTCGTATTAGGTTGTGGAATCGAGATTAGGGTTAGTAGGTCGAGTGATCAAAAGATTGGTTGGTGGTTGAATTACACTAAGATGCAACTTAAATTAAAGTAGGCAATTAAATGTAATGGAGAGAAAATAAGAGAGAGATCTTGGGGTTTAGAGATCACCACTAAGCATAACTTTTCTATACCCTTAATGAATGATTAATGAGGGGGAAAACATGTATTGCAATATAGTATGTGTGTGTGGTTGTTTCAACAAGCATGGATGACAAATTAAGCATATATTATCTAAGTAACATGGTGGATAGCACAATATATCAAACTAAGCCATTAATCCTTTCTTTAAGCTCACAATCCAAACACATCACAAAGTTAGAGAAATATGCTACTTGCTTTCATAAATATGGAACATCAAACAACAAGCATGTATTGTCCTCCTATTTAACACCTAAACTACAACTACACTACAATTAAGCTAATGACATGAAATTAAATTAGGTAAACTAAGGGAGAGGCACAATCCATCAAGAAATGAGTATGAACCATCAAATAAGCCACAAGAGCATTCCATTAAGCACTATGTCTTGACAATCTCTAGATCTATAGCATTAATACACATAGACATGCATCATTAACACAAGAAATAGAGACAAACACATGAACATCTATTCTAGCATACATAGACATATGGATATAATGAAATGATCAATTGGAAGCATTAAACCACACAAATCATTGAATAAACAAAATCTATGTATATAAATATGTCAAAACATCTATCACAATACAAATCCCCTCAAAAATACATAAATCAAGATGTAGAAAATATGCTTAAGGCTAACTCTATTCCCAAGAAGATGTCTAGCCACTCATGAATGGTGTCCTCCAACCCTCAAGGGCTAACTCCATGGTAGAGATTGCTCATCTTCTTGGTTGATGGAAGAAGTCCAAGCTTGTATCTCTAGCCTCCTTTCTTCTTTTCTTCCTCACTAAGAATATGAAAAAATGTGTCTCTAGTGTAGATATCCTCTATTTGTCAAGAATGGCTCATATTCCTTATATAGGTAGGTTAAATGTCACCCCCAATGAGTTGGGCTCATACACCAATATTCCTTCCAATGATTGGATATGAGACAACTTTTAATGAGCTGGAAATTGGATTTTCTCGGGCTTTTGGAAGTTTGATCGATTGAACTTGTGGTGAGATCGATCGAACATGGCTGAGATCTATCGAATTTAAGCTAGATCGATCCTCTATGGCGGCGCCTTTTTGGATAAAAACAAACTTGAGATATTTTGAAAATATTTTTAGGAAAGAAACAAATGTGGTAGGTAGGGTGGTACAAGTGGATAAGATGGAATCTTTTCGATCGATCGGAAGAAAGTTAGATCGATCGAACTTTGTGGGATCTTTGGATAAGGACA